ATTGTTTAAATTTAGTTATTAATGTTTATTATAGTTTTTAATTTCGAAATTGTTAGGTATGATTTTTTGGTTTAGGAAACAAAATTAATCGTGATTTGATGAATCTAAACTAATGAATAAATTGTTTGCTATATATTAGGAATCTATTTTTAAGACTGATTATATTATTTATTAAACCCAAAATTTCGTGGATGAAGGTTCATTTAATTTTATGAGTTTTCTAAAATTGTTTCTATCTAAAATTGTTTGCTATAATTTAGCTAAAGTTTCTATTATTTTAGTTATGTAGTTTTCTTAAAAATAGTTTGGTTTTGTTTTACTTTTTTGATTGTATAAACTATGATTGACTTATACAAAATGCTTCCCTTTTAATAGTATAGATACAAATGTATCAACATATAAATTAAAAATTTACTTTACTAATAACAAAATAAATTATTGAAATAACGAGCTTTATTTATATATGATATTACATATAATCCTGAATCAAAAATAAGTTATTAAATTTATTTATATGTATATATTTAAAGTTGAAAACGATAATGATGAAAATAATTATGGTAAATTTGTTATAGATCATATGGATAGAGTTAAATATATAGTAGTTATCTGCTACTATTATTTTATTATATTTTCTAAATATCTTGATACATAAAAGTGATTTTTACAAGGAGATTGCAAAATCATAAACCAAAATTAACTGCGTCTTTTTGGATTTATGAATTATTTCTGACATCACAAAATATAGGAGTAATTTTTGGAAAGTAAACTTTTATTTTGTATTATTTTGCAATCATAAACCCTTTCAATTTGAAAGAATAACAAAAATTAAGATAAATTTTGTAATTAAATTATAATAAAATTGCAAAACTGGAAATCAATATTTGTTACATTTAACACAAATTCCTAAAAGCTCTCTAAATCAAATATTTCTCCAATATATTTTTATGATCTTATTTGCTTTAAATTATATTATTACATAAAACATATGTATAATAAAATTTTTTTTTCCGAATATGTTATAATTTGAATTACTGAAAACGGACATATATTACTCAATCGATACAAAAAAAAAAATATGTACTAAAGTATTATTGATAATTTTGTAGTACGGATCATGTGATTGAATGAGTTATAATTTACATAATTATGATTCTAGATGTTTTTACAGGTTGTCTACTATAGTAAAAATAAAAAAATAATTTATTCTAAAACTAGAGTATTTAAACGAAAGATGTTATGCAAACACTATTTCATTATTTTGAACACTAAAATTATTTAATTAAGTTGGTCAAATTACGATTATATAAAAAATATATTTTATGCAATATTTCACGGCTTAAGTTAGAAATAAGAATTAAAATACAGTAGTACAATCTTATATACCAAACAAAATTAATAAAAGAATATATTTTTAAATATCGTCCCGCGGTATACCACGGGTTAAAATCTAGTATATATATTAATACATAAGATGATTTATTAGTGTTTCTTCTAATAACTCAAGCTTAGTTCCTTTTTATAGTATCAATTGTTATTTTTTTTTTCTATCCTTTTCAAAGTAGGATGCTAGAAACGTAAATATCTTGTCGAGAGGATAATTAGCTACATCGATTGCGAACAACAACTTTGATAAAGAAGAAGAACCGGGCACAATCGTTGCATTGGTATTAGCGCTTCTCTCTCTCTTGCGGGCAAATTTTAGATCTAAGTTTTTTTCTTTTCCCTTTCTCTTTTTCCGATCAGATCTTCATCTCTGGCCATGGTCAATCAATTAAGATTCATGAGTGAGCTGATCCTCTTCTCTGTC